TCTTGGCATAATTTATGTCTCTCAGTCTTCTTGACTGTGTTGCCAAAATTATGTGGTTCCCCCCCTCCCTCTTTACTTTGTTCTCACTGTGTAATTCCATGATGTCTACATTTTAATAAGCCCTGCTACTGAATTGATTCAAGTAGCCAAATGCAGAACTGGTCACTCTAGGGGCCAAATGTAGAATAGGTAGCACGACCTGGAGGACATTATATAATCCAGTAACGATTCAGGGATCTCATCTCATATGCAACAATCTGTTACTAAAATGCTGCTTTAGACTATGAGGAAAAGAGGATTAACCTGGTTTCATCACTATTTCTTTACTATTTATTACTGATGTTGAGCTGCGGGAAAACTAGGGAGGCAAGTCTCCACAGTCTTCCCTCCATTCTGGCCAGTTATCACACTCTGGTGAGAAAAATTGTGTCACGCCAGAATTTAGAAAAACTGAATTATTGAACTACAACTCCCAGAATCTTTCATGACCAATAGCTAGCATGACCAATAGCTGAAATTCTCCTGAGATTGTTTTGGCAACGTACTTTCCTGGTACAAGTTCAGAAGTAGATCAAGTCTACATCTGTAGATATCAGTTCCAAGCCTGAATTTCCAGTAAAAACCAGTGCTTTTCCAATCTCCAGCACAATCTGGAAAAAGAGCTGCATGAGCCCCAAATTGACATTACAGTCTTAACATGGCAGTATGATGCCTTCACTTCTCAGCTCCAAGTCTGGCAAGTGTATCGGAGTTAGTAGTGACCAGCCAAGTAGAAACCTCTGCCCTATCTCAAACCCTGAGAAGACCAAAGAGTAAGGAAATGAAAACTTTATCTTCCCTACTACACATGGAGAAGTTTTCTATCCACAGGAACTGCCATGGCTTTTAACAAAGTATGTGAACAAAGACACCAAAACAACATCAAAAAGAACACAAAAGATTACTAGAGGACAGGACTTGGAACAGATGAGCCTGGGTCCCATCTCCAAGATTATCTATCTGTCTATCTTCTATCTATATATATGTAAAATGCTCTGTTCATTTTGAGTGACATCATAACTCAAATTTTGCTGGACGAATTGCTGCCAAATTTGGCCACAAGACATCTACTAACCCAAGGAGTGACCATCACTAAAAAATGATTTTGTCATTTGGGAGTTGTAGTTGCTGGGATTTATAGTTAACCTACAATCAAAGAGCATTCTGAATTCCACCAACAATAGAATTGAACCAAATTGACACACAGAACTCCCATGAGCAACAGAAAACACTAGAAGGGTTGGTGGGCATTGACCTTGAGTTTTGGAGTTGTAGTTCACCTACATCCAGAGAGCACTGTGGACTCAAACAATGAATGATCTAGACCAAACTTGGCATGAATAATCAATATGCTCAAATATGAACACAGATGGAGTTGTTGAAAATTGATCTTGACATTTGGGAATTGTAGTTACTGGGATTTATAGTTCACCTACAATCAAAGAGCATTCTGGACCCCATCAACGATAGAATTGGGCCAAACTTACCGCACAGAACCCCCATGACCAACAGAAAATACTGTGTTTTCTGATGGTCTTTGGTGACTCTTCTGACAGCCCAATTTGCGACCCCCAGGTTGAGAAATGGTGCCTTAAGACCATCCAGTTCAACTCCCTTCACCAGGGCAAGACAACATAATCAAAGTCCTCCTGACAAAGAGCCGTCTAACCATAGATATAAATGATTCACACATACACACATATCTATGTATATAAGTATAGTATCATAGATTTGAAAGGGACCCCCTAAATAAGGACCATTATATGTTGCGTGTTCCAGAGTTGGCAAATCAGACAATCTCTACATCAACACTGACAAAAAAACAACAAGAAATACTGTTTACCCACAAGCATAAAGAAATTATATAGATTAGAAACCAACACTTTCTTATTACTTTATTTTCCAGATCACAAAACTGGGCCACCTCAACACATGCCAGGGGATGACTAGTGTACAAATAAACAAATATAGGTATTCCAGAATTCAAACTGGAACACTTCTGGTTCCAGGTATTTTCGATAAGGGATAATTAGTTCTAGTCACTATCTAACATAGTTACCATGCTACCGTAGTTACAATGTAAAAGCAAGTCTTTATTTTCTCATCTCTCAGTTGAGCCTTTAAAAAAATCTTGCAACCTGTTTGGTACTTTACTATCTTCCATCTCAGTACCAACAGCGAAGCATGGGACCACAGCAAAATGCAGGACATGATCCTGCACTTGAACTATGTGATATTTATCCTACACCATTTAGTGAAGCCATACCACCTCACTGTAAATGTGACTGCAGTTAGTTGCATCGCACCAGTGTTATCCTCCCCTAAGTGATAATTGCAATGTGTTGTATTTATATCTGTATTGAAATATGAAATATTTACACATTGCTAATAGTTATTTGATCCTAGCAATTTACAAATCCTTCTTAAGTATCTGTAGCTAATTCCTTCAATTAGCTGTAAATACTAATTTGGGCCCCCTGGTGGTGTAATGGGTTAAATTGCTGAGCTTCTGAACTTGCTAACCAAAAGGTTGGCAGTTCGAATCCAGGGAGCAGCATGAGCTCCCACTGTTAGCCTCAGCTTCTGCCAACCTAGCAGTTCGAAAACATGCAAATATGAATAGATCAATAAGTATTGCTTCTGCAGTAAGATAACAACGCTCCATGTAGTCGTGCTGGCCACATGACCTTGGAGGTGGCTACAGATAACGGCGGCTCTTTAGAAATGGAGATGAGTACCACCCCCAAGATTTGGACACGGCTATACTTAATGTCAGGGGAAACCTCAACCTTTTTTTTTAAACTTCAATCTCAATATTAGGTTATGGGCTTTTTTTATGGCAGAGATGCCCTGCCCCTCCCAGCTATTTTGATAGCCCTTGACCAATCAAGCTTCTCATAAATTGTTATAGTTTTTAATGTTAGCTGCTTTGAATCTCCTTTGGCGGAGAAAAAAGAGTGTGAATGCTAATACTAATTCTTCTCTTAATTGTCCTTTCTGAGCAGCAACTGCATGCACAGACATCCAGGTGTATGGCCTTTTCAACTCTGACCTTTATGCACCAGAAATCAGATTCAACCTGATTCAGCATGGTGTATGCAGCACATTTTCAGAATGAACCTATTTGAACAAAGAGTGTTAATGTGTACTACTGGATATGTGTAGCCATCGAGTGGCAAGAAGACAGGAAAATATATGTAGCATTACCTGGCCACAGATTTCTTTTTTCTTTCTTTCTGTTATTTCAGGGCCTGTTCTATATTTATGTAGTTGATATGTGTTAAAAAAACACAACAACAAGCATGCTCTAGATGTGTCAAAAACCATTCTTTTGTGAACATCTGAAGAAAGGCATTTGCTTTTTTTTGAAAAAGTGTCCAATTTAGTACTGTGCACAATAAATGGGCTTAAACATTTTTATTTTCATTAGGGACCTAAGTAAAAGTGAACCCCTCCAGTGGGCCTCTGCTTGAGAAACAAGGCGGCATGTCATATAAATTAATGTGCCCTGTTACTCCCCAGAGGTCTGCCAACATTTTCCACTGAAGTGCTCTCTTTCTGTTTTATGAACAGTGAATTCACCATGGCAAAGTAAAATCTTCATCTTTTGACTGTAAATCTTCTAGTTACTCTTTATGTTGTGTTGTGTTACACACTTGATGGCATCAAATATGATGAAAGTCGAGTTCTTGGAGGAAGCAAGCATTCTTGCTTGCCACAAATGCTCTGCCAAGCAACTTGGGGAAAGCATTTTTAGTATTTCATTTCATTATTGTGCTTCCATTTGCAGTGGGATTCAGATACACCCGAGGAAAGAGTTTGCTCTTGTTTATCCTGGAAATCAGTTTGAATTTCAATTTCAATTAATACTTTGTCTAAATGGTAGCCATACTCCGGTTTCCCTTTGTTCTTAGCAATAATGGTTGGCCTTTCAGTTCATGTAAAAGAATGAGAATATCTGATGTATTTTTGTTAACTTGGAAGAAAGGCAAATCCTCTTTCCCAATTCTCTGTCCGCCCTTGGCAGTTGTACATCTTGACTGATGCTTGCTAAGTGTTGCAATGGACTCCAAGTGTACAGTAAGCATCAAAGATTATTTGATAGCAGTTTCCTTAGAAGACGTTTCCACCATATTCTAAGTGTCAGGGCACTGCTTCACTGGACTGCTGTTTCACACTGAGCTATATTAATAACCTCCTTGCAAGGAAGGCTTTCTGCAGAAAGAAAATGATTAGCTTAAAAGTTAATATAAGGTAGTCAGAAGATAAGTTGTGAAGTAGGTCAGTACATTCTGCTTCTTTTTTAACTGCATTATCAGCAGGCCATTTTTGCAAACTTTTTCTCCTTAGTACACAGCAATGTCACTTCATTCCTGCTTGCATCCTTCTGTTGAAAGCATTGTTGGTTATTGTTATTCTTTTCAATGCTGCGTCTTATATACATTTTTTTATTTATGCTATGTTAAGAGTTTAGTTATGCATTACATTCATATTGGGCATTTCCAGCCAAAGTTAAGCACTTTGTTACATTGATACCACTGGAAGGGGTTAAAGAGAAATAAATAAAGTATTTCTGTTCATGAACCACTGAAATATTAAGCCTATTTTCAAGATATATATATTTGGAGGGAGCATTATACATAGAAAGCAAATTGGGGTCTTAGTAAATCTTTATAAAAACCTACAGTCAATTCCATGGATTAAATATATGCAATATAACTGGAAACGATAAAACAGTGTCAGATCAAAGTAGATATTGTGAAAGAGTTTCACAAATAGACTGACCCAAATGCTAAAAATGGTTCATACTACAACAAAAATACATGGGAATCTTTATGCATTTGTTTAGCTTTGGCCATAGCTATTGTGAATACTGCCATTTTGAAAATAATCTTGTTGTTGTTATTTGAAAGGAGGAAGTCAATATTCTGTAAATTTGACCAGTGCTCTTGTCCTTTCAGCAACTCTGGAAGAAATCTATCTCTTACAGAGCGGGTTATGGGGCAGCGAAAGAGGTACATGCTTATATCTCTCCCATTGCAATCAATGTTAACTTTGGCAGGATTGTGCTCATTATGTAGAGCTTCTATGTGTTTTATAGTCTTCTAAAAGTGCACTCTTTATTGTATATGTTTGCTTCTTTTGTAATATGTGGAAAGAATTTCAGTGTGGTGTAATGAGATGTGAAAGGCACAAATAGGTGTTACAGAGATGAGAAGCGACCTTGAACACACACACTCTCACACACACACACACACACCCAGAGGAACTAAAAACCTGACCCCTAGATAAAAAAGAACATCATATCTAGATAAATGATGGAGAGGAATGAGAACCTGAACAGAGCCTGGAAAGTTAATTTTAATAGGAATGAATAAAATAATAAATTTGTAGACATCCATAACTGAGCCATGATAATATTATTTTCAGCATTCAAGAGTGCACAAATAGCTTTGTAGATGGCTAGAAAAAGGCCAAATCCATATTGAGATGCTAGTTTGATTAGGTCAACCAAAAAAGCATTGAAAAACTGGGCAACCTTTCAATACCACAGGCCAGGCAAAATTGCTTTAAAAAGGGAATCCCGGGGGGTGGGGGGGGAGGGGGGGAGGGGGGGAGGATGACACTCCTAAGAGTCACATAGTATGCATTCTGTATTGAGATTTGAGTAAGAATACCTGCCAAATTAGTCATACTAGGTTACAGCCTGGTGGCCTCTAGGCTTGTTGAGGGTAGGAATGACATTAAAAGTTAATAAAGGTTGGTTCCCCTTCTTAAAACTCCCTTCCTAAACTAATAATTATAATAACAATAACAACATCCCTCTAAAATATCTTTACCCAGGCCCTCTTAGGAGTATAGAGCAGGAAGAATCTATCAGATCTAGAGATTTGGGCACTAATTGACTCAAACCAAACCAAAGGTATTCTCTTTCCATTGATTCCCAAATATTAATTTATTGTGTCATTATAATCATTTTGGTAAATAGTAATTTCTCACCTTTGGGACCTATGACTGTGAATTACAAAGTTTTAGTATATTATACATGAGCTAATATGAATGGATGCTGTGCATATGTATGCCTAGGTTGGGAAGTGTATACAGTTGGCTCCCTTGCAAGAGCCAGGAAGGCAGCTGGGCAGTTTGAGTTTTGGCATCTCTTCTGTCTGGGAGGTAACCCAGTGAGTCAAATTAGGATTAGATTTGGGGTTTAGAGGATCAGATGTCAAGAGGTGAAGGTCTCTGTGGAAATTTTAGAGTAGTATGCTTAGCTTTCTCTTGAGATGGTTATTTATCATTTATTTCACAAATTCTTTAAGGCTTCCCAAACATTACTAGAAATATATAAGCTTCTAGATAGAAATAATAGTTTTATAAGGAAGTGAAATTTCAGTATATCAATGCTTCACTGTAGAAACATTCAAGGTACAGTGTTTGATTATTACAGTAAATCAGAAAGTCACTGAAAGGCGATGACGTTGTTGAGAGTAGGGGAGCTAACATAGCACTAGTGGGTAAGCTTTAGAATTCTGTAGACTCTTAACCTTTCCTTTAAACCGGATTTAAATATGGTAATAATTCCTTTAAGATGGATGTTAAATATTATAATACTTCAACAAAACCTGGGGTGTGCCTCTGTAAATTGGCTGAAAAGGTTAATAGTGAAATATTATTTTGTTCCCACCTTTCTAATCACCCTTGTCATAACATTTTGCTCTGCTTACGTGTAAGCATAAACTAAAAACAGAACCATGTTTCACAATCACATCCATCAAGTTACTGTTTTATTTTTGTTTTGTTTTTTGTTTTTTTGCATTTGCTGGTTCTGGGACAATTGTGTGAATTGTATCTGAAAAAAAATGTTTATTTTCAGCTGATATTGAATAAGATGAAATGTTTATTTTCAGCTGATATTGAATAAGATGAAATAAAGAGTGGTCATTAATCTGTGATGCATGATTGCCATGTACAAATTGCCATTTGCTATAACAATTAACTGAAATATACATTACATAAGTTCTGTTTTTTTTTTACTTTTTGCTTGGCCATTGTATATTACTTTACTTAGCTTGACACATATTTCTTAATTAAGAAGTGTTCCCACATTCCTCAGACTGTACATGTTTGTTACTCAGTTTTTCTTGAAAAAATAGTTGGGTGTGACAGTGTTTTTCTGAATGCTTTTTATACTGGAAATAGCAGTAGTTGGGCAATAAATGTGGAGCATTCCAAGTGGTGTCTTTTTTTACATTAAGTCAGGAAAAGGAATGAAGTTAAATTGTTTTAGGAAGGAACTATTGATTTTCTCCAATCAAACTATATATGATGGCAAATATAAATAATGTGTATACACATGCATAAGTCTAGAAATTTAAGTCCAAAAAAACCCTGGCTTATTTACAAGGGAACTATCCCCTTCTCTGTGTAGAGTTGCAAAAGGCAAGAGCTTAGACCAGTGGTTCTCAACCTGTGAGTCGCCAGGTGTTTTGGCCTACAACTCCCAGAAATCCCAGCCAGTTTACCAGCTGTTAGGATTTCTGGGAGTTGAAGGCCAAAAACATCTGGGGACCCCAGGTTGAGAACCACTGGCTTAGACTGTTCTAAAAGAAGCACTGCTTCCCTCTGCTCTCTCCATCGTGGCACCACCCCTGGCTTTTTTTAAAATGTGCAAATCTAGTGATTATATTGCAATACAGGTGGAATATCCCTTATAAAAGATACTTAAGACCAGAGGTGCTTTGGTGTCCCCTCTCCCAGATTTTGGAATATTTCTACATACATAATAAAATATCTTGGAGATGGGACCTAGGTCTAAAACAAAATTAATTTATGTTTCATATACATCTGTACATATAGTACAAAGGTCGTGTTGTACACTCTTTAAAAATATTGTGCATGAAACATAGTTCATGTGGATTGAACCAAAATACAATTTTGGAGTGTATTTATTTATTTATTTACCACTTTTTTCTCACCCCGGAGAGAACTCAGAGCATCTTCCAGTTTTTGTCAATTATTCAATACCACATTGAGACATAAAGCAGATAATATACACAATATATTACACTTTAAAATCCAATAAACATATCAATACAATTAAAAATTAAAAACTGTTAAAGCATTACACCTAATCCTGCCATTATAGTCCAAGCTGCTTCGATTATATCAAAACCGTGGATGTATATTGCTCTAAGGTTGTGCTATTTCCCAAACGCCTGATTCCACAGCCAGGTTTTGACTCTCTTTCTAAAAACCAGGAGGGAGGAAGCTGATCTAATACCACCCAGGAGGGAGTTCCATAGCTGAGGGGCCACCACTGAGAAGGCCCTGTCCCTCATCCCTACCAGTTGCACCTGCAAAGGAGGCGGGACCGAAAACAGGGCCTCCCTGGCACATCTTAACACCCGAGTTAGTTCATAGGGAGATATGTTCAGACAGGTAAGCTGGGCCAGAACTATTTAGGGCAGTGGTTCTCGGCATGTGGGTCCCCAGGTGTTTTGATCTACAACTCCCAGAAATTCCAGCTAGTTTACCAGCTGTTAAAATTTCTGGGAGTTGAAGACCAAAACATCTGGGGACCCATAGGTTGAGAACCACTGTTTTAGGGCTTTATAGGCTAAAGCCAGCACTTCGAATTGTCCTCGGTTGCAGATGGCAGCCAGTGGAATTGTCATAATGGGAGGTGGGCGGGGGGGATGTCCACTCCCTGTACACTGCTTTGGAGAGCAATCTGGCTTCTGCCCATTGGACTACTTGAAGCTTCTGAACAGTCTTCAAAGGCAACTCCATGTAGAGCTTGTTGCAGTAGTCTATTCAAGATGTATCAAGAGAGTGGACTACCATGATTTTGGAATTTCAGATAAGGGGTGCTCAATTGTGAAATTTAAATTTTGTAATATATTATAAAACATGTGACTGTGAATATAAAAAGATTGGTCAACTTTGAATAATTACAATTTAATTATTGTTGACTACCCTTATGTACTTGAAAAGCAATAGAAGTACTGTAGATTTTTGTGTTCTCTTGATCCATGCCTTGGAAGCTTTGGTCTGTACCAATTCTGAGATAGTGACTATAATGAGATGCTAGGGTAGTGATAGTTCTTCCCACCCCAGATTAATTGCACTCAGTATGTGTGCTATTGTGAATGCTAAAGTCCGTACCGACTAGCATTATGTTAAATGCTAACTGCTCTGTCTACACTGCAATTTTAATATGTTCTGACTAACACATTTTAGATCTGAGAGCTCCAGCTGAGGTCAGAGTGCTCGACATTCTGTTAAGTAAATGTTAAAGGATTCGGTACATGATGCCTGTGAATTCCGGAATTGTAGCAATTAAAGCATTATACAAGGGAATCTTAGTAAAATATAAGGCCTACTGCTTTCAAATATCAAAAGGGATTTTAATAACCTTTCCTTTGGAATGGCTATAGCATTTTCAGAGTGGGAGCATATGTGTGTGGGGGATAAAATGAAGTTTAAGATTTTGCTGAGACTTAGTGATATCTTGTCAAAAAGTGATCTAAAGGCAGCCCAAACTGTCAAATTATCAAAGATGGTGTAGTGTGAGGAGGCTTAATATAGTAATGTGCTACATTACAAGAAGAAAAGAAATAGTTTTAATATACTATTTTAAGATGTAATTCAGTCATTTAGGAGGTTAGTAAAAACATTACCAGTAGAAACAGGATCATTCTTCCTTATTACCTACCTACATACAGCTGTATAGTTCATTATAAACAACTTTATGCTTGTTTATCTAATTATATTAGAAAGGTACAACATTTTCACTCGTCCAAGCATGTTCTAATTGCCCTAAATAGCATAATGCTTGTTCCAATTGGGCAGTTTTATAATTAAGTCTCTGTAGTTAAAAATGTATCAAAATGTATATAAGGAAACCTAGACATTGCACTAAGAAAAGAAGACTCTTGCAATCTGTAGAAATTATTGAAATCAGAATGCAATGACACATTTTCATCATTTTGCCCATTTTATTCTGAACCCATGT